ATATGTTAATACAATGTGTGTAATAATTTATAAAAGATTTATTCTTTTTGCACACATTTTTAATCTTAAATAAAATTTTTATTACTTGAAAGAAAACTCAGAAGAAAAATTAAAAACAATTTATTATCAATGTGAAAGATTGTGATGGACAAATAGCTTAGATATCACGCAGTAATACATAGTAATTTTTTGCTAAAGAAGAAATTAAAAATGTATCGATAGAATCGATTATGTAATTTTGCATCTGCAACTCAAGACTTGAAATTGTATGTACATACATACGTCATACGTCAAATACTTCCAATTAGTGAATATAGGGTGCGATCCATTTTCAGAGTATTTCGCTGACCAATTAGAAGAAAGAATTAATTGTCTTACTACTAATTAATTGACCAATCAAAGAATATTTCAAAGCATTTGTAGTATCGAATGGATGGTAGTAGTAGGAGGTAGTATAAATTTTGAATTATAAATTCACAATTATCGATACATGCCCGTGTGTTTAAAGGAAATAAAAGCTATAAAGAAAAGAGAAAAAGATGAATGTGCGCTCGAATAATCGTGGAAAATCCGTGATCTCACCACGTGCCAATTTAGTTTTGGACATTGTGGTTGCCTGTCTTGTCGCGTTTCAGCGGTGATAAAACGAGCGCCGTCGCCGTCGGTACGTAGAGCATTCGTATGATAACGAGAGTAACTTTGCGAAATACGAAATGGCGAAAGAAGAGATCGCTCGGATCGCGGACCGTGAACAGGAGAGTAGTGCCCCGGGGTAATGAATGCAAATGTATTGAAATCCAAATCATTATTTTGTCTAGACGCATCGTATGCCCCATTGCATATAGCAGGTTACGCCGAGATACGTTGGAATACAGTCGGCGGTGGTGCCTGTGCGCGTAAAAGGATTAAAGGGCGGGATAAGGGGAGATTCTCTCTCTCCCTCTTCCTCCCCCCTCCCTCACTCCCCCGTTCCTCCACACCCTCCCCCTACCCTCCTCCTCTCTCCCTCCCTCTCCTTCTTTCCCACCTTGTGTATTTTTTCTCGTCTGTACTTGCGTTCACTGTCATTTAAGTATCCATGTGTTCGTCCTATTATCCTAGCAGTCTCCTCCTCCATCCACCTTTTTTGTCAAATTTGTCTGCCGCTCTAACCGTTATTTCCGCTAGATACAGAGTCGCTTGTACTTTTTGTCTGTATAAAGTAAAAAAAAAACTCACCATATTATGAAGCTAGAATCCGAGGTTGTATTTTCTATGTATAATATGGTTTTTTTTTAATAAATAACATAAAACATGATTTAGAGAGATCAAAATAGTTATATAGGTGTATACACACACGCACGCACACACGCACGCATAAATCATGTAAAGCACAAAATAAAAGGCTCGATTATATCAATCTAAAATAAATCTGGACGCAGCTTGTGTATCGCTAAAGACACTAAATGTACATTCGGAAACTGGAAATATTTGATAGTTGCAACACAGTCTTAGCACATTACAAAAGCTGGTTCGTTGAAACAAGTTTTTAAGATCCTCTATCCTCGTTCACCTCGATACCATATCCGTGTACTCATTCGCTGTCATAGCTATTTCACTTTTATGTTGAATTTGTTTTTTTTTACGTTTCTTACACCCTTTCTCTTAACGCATACCGCTCTCACAGAATTGCAGCCGCGTAATACTTATATACCTACACCTCCTTTGAGTGCGTTTCACAATGATATGACCTATATCGTAAACGATAGAAACAGAGAAGAGTACTGGTACAAAATACGGAAAAAAAACACTCTTTGGGATGATACGCTTCGTTGAAAGCCCATAAACCAGACATTGTAAAGTCTGCGAATGACGATTGCTAGTAAACTGTGAGATATAAAACCGTCGCAAAAGTGCTAGCTGTGTGATCTACGTACGCAAAGCCGTACTATACTTTAACGACTAAAATCTCGACGGATTCATTTATCTAAGTGCTTTACCGGGTGCTAGTTTATTCGAATCACCGTGAATTACAATTCTTTATCATCTCGCTCAAATGAAATGTAAAAACATTTATAGATTTAATGTTGCTTGTTACGATAATTTTTGATCGTGATAAAATCGATAATGAAAATCCATTAAATACATCAACTAAAAAAAGCAGATAGAAAATTGATTAAAAGATGTTAAAGTGTTTGAAGGATTAAAGTATTTCTTATTTTATTAAGTAATATATATATATATATATATATATATATATATATATATATATATATATATATAT